CTTTCTTGCCACAGTTGTTAAGTGAATCTGGCTTCACTGCACTTGTTAAATTAGTAACATGGTTGTTAAGTGAATCTGGCTTCCCCATTGACTTGGTTTGAAAAAAGGTTGCAAAAGATGATCATATGACCCTGGGACACTGCAACCGTCATAAATATGAGTCTGTTGCCAAGCATCTGAATTTTGATGGCATGACCATGGGGATGCTATAATGGTTGTAAGTGTGAAAAACGGCCGTAAGTTGAGGACTACCTGTACTGTAAGGTAGACCTTAGCTATTGGTTTTTATAACTAGGTTTGGGTACAAAACTGCTAAGATGTGGAACAGGAAACAACAACTCTTGTTTGGAAATCTCTTTCCAGTTTTCCCCTTTTCCTGACTAAGATCAGCTGGATGGGGTAATAGCATGTTTGTATGTGTAACGATAAACCATTATTTATCAATATGGCTATAAATAGCTATCTGTACAGGTGTCAGGTTAAAGCAGTCCTACTTCTTTCTGTGTAGATAAGAAAAAATAATCAGAATTTCAGTTCAATTTAACAGATTAGTTTGTATAATATGCTAATGCTAACAAAACTGAATTGCTATGTTAACATAACATGCCATGCCTGGACAAATAACTGATATTATGGCTTTATGTATTATGACTTTATGTAAAGGCCCTACTTCATACAACATGGCAACAAATTGCTGTGTTTTCACAACATGCTGAACCACAAGTAATTCAAATTTATTTCAGCTTAGTTTTACCCATGCAAACTTAGTCCTTGTGTGCTAACGATTATTTCAAAATCTATACAATTGCAAAAGAAGCCATGAAGACAATCTTAAACCTTAAGCATGTATTGTCACTTTGCAGAATATACATTAATTCATAAATTTCTATTGTAAGTTTGATTATGTTGGGCGATTATGGCAAATATCTTCCAAGGATTAAACCTACAGAAACACCTGTGTAAATTTCATGCATGTATAGAAACATTTGGGCATTATGGAATATTAGTTTATCCTTGCTTCTATAAAGAAAAGCATACTCTATAAGAAAGATGTAACTAAGGCTATGTATGAGTCAGTTCTTATGAGCAGGAAATGAGGATTTAAGGCTGAGTTGTCAAAAACATTAATTAAATTATTTTTTGACAGTTCACAGTATATTTTGTTTTTAATATCTATGCTGTCTTAAGGACAATTTAATTGTTGTATAGTTAGCAGTTCTGGAACTCTAAGCTCTTTAAGACAGTATGTAAAGAAAGAAAGAATATTTGGGCAGGGATAGGGGTGAGGAAAGACTCAGTTAAAACCATAACTTCCCTTTTCCAAATATTGTTTGTCTGCTAGCTATAAGTGTTTGTAAAGGACAGGAATCTGCATTTGAGATAATGGTAAAGTGTAAGTGCTTATTATAGGAGGATATGATGTGATATAACAATGGTGTCTTGAATAATTACTTGTACGGTGCTTGTTGCTGAGGCTTCTCTCTTAGATAGGTTACTGCATCCTTTTTTGGCAGGATGCAGAATTTTCTTCTGGATCTTCCCTTTAAAGGTTTCTAATATCTATCATTTCCTCCCTTTTCCTGGTTTTTCAGAATTACTTGAAACTGTTCTTTCTGGCAATTTCCCAAAGGAATTACTAACTGCTGAGAGAACCCACTGTCTTAAGACACCGGAAATAACAACTGGTCTTTCCTTGGTAAAAAGAAATAAGATTTCTGATTTGGTGGCCTGATAGAAACTTACAATTTTGACTTGTTAGTTCTCTCCCCCCACCCTTTTTTCTAGATCTTCTTGTATGTCTGATCTACCACTGGGTATTATGAAAAGCTGCCCCTAAGAAGCTGGAGAATTGTGCTGTTTGGTTTTGTTATATGATCTGCAGATATTTTAACAAGTTTCTATTCAGGTATTTGCTTGAAGGCGAGAGAGATTGAAAGTGGAGAAGAAAGGTGTCTGCTTTCTGCGCCCACCATTGTTGTCCTCTCATCATATCCCTCCTACCCATTTCTATTCCCAGCTTCTAAGTTGACCAGGGAGATCTGAAAAGATGCAAAATTGCACACAGCTGCTGTGGGTACATTTTTCAGCAGAATTCTGGATCCTGTTTTGAATCTCAGGTAAAGGTTTCTCCTGTCCAGTCTAGTCTGACTCTTAGGGGCAGTGCTTCTTAGCTGAGGGAGCCAGCGCTGTCCGAAGACATTTCTGTAGTTGTGGCCAGCATGACTATATTTGGAGATGCACATAACACTGTTACCTTCCCACCAAAGTGGCATCTATTTATCCATTCATATTTGTATGCTTTCAAACTACTAGGTGGGCAGGGGCTGAGGCAAGTAATAGGAGCTCACCTGTTGTGCAGCACTCGGGTCCTGAACCCAGGCTGTCAGCTTTCCAGGTGACAAACTTAGCATCTTTAATGATTGAGCCATTGAACCCCAATTTGAATCCCAGATGAATTTGGTTGTATCTCAGGTGTTAACTTTTCAAA